ACCTCGCTGTTCACACGCAATACTAGCGCTCCCTCACCACGGAGCTAACACGAGTTATAGCTTACTATGGAATAACTCCTGCTCGCTTCGTGTTAAGTAAAACATTCAGCTTTCGTTTAAATCAATCTATACGAACATTATAAAGAGAAAAGATTTGTATTTTTGTATGTATTCGATTTACGTAAAAACCACTGAGGTGATTCCAAAAATTCTTTCACCATTAGAAAGGTAATTTATCTGTGAGTGATATAGAATTACAAAGTACCATGTGACTTTTATGATTACGTCTCAGGCCCAGCACCTTATTTTGGCGTATATCACAGCAAATCTATGATTTAATTAAGTGTTTTTTTAATCTGTGATTGGAATTTTATAAAATTTGTTGCAACTTTGTTTTAAATTTAAAAATAAGATAAAAAGCTGAATATTTTACAAAGTTAAAATTAATTTGAAATAAACTAGATGCCAATAAAATAAAATAACAAAAAGCAACATATAACAAACAATCTATTTAACAATTTGTATAAAAAAAAGGTTTAATTAACTATTTTCTTACGAACATCACTATTGGCACCTGTAATTAACGGATTAGTATAAAATCTGCAGCCTCACTGCCGCGAAAGCGAAACGTGAGCGAAAAGTTTACTGCACCTTTTGATTAAAATATCGCACAACTGTTTAGTCTCGCTTTGATTCCTATAAGCTTATATGGAGGTACACTATTAGTTGTGCAACTAAACAGTTGACTGCAAAACAATCGACAATCGCACAACAGTTATGCGTAGTTTAGTCAAAGTGCCCGCTCTCAATCGACACAAGTTTCGTATCAAAAGAAATTTCGGTTTCATTTCGCGGAAGTGTGGTCTTAAAAGTACATATCTGCTGCTTATCCAAGAATTAAAACGTAAACTACTTCATTTTGTACATTGTAAAAATAATTTAATTGACAAGAGTTGAAAAATAGTGTAAAATCAAGAATAATTATACAAAACTGTAATAAAACTCTGGTCAATTATTACACAATATGGGAAGAAACATTAGTTATACTCTTTGTTTGGAGCTATAGATTGATTGATGGGTTTTTGATATGCAAAATTTTAGTAAAGTTCACATTATTAACGTCACCAGTAAGGGGGTAGACAGCTACTCCCTTAGAGAAATAAAATATGTAAAACAGACACAACTACTTCATAAGGCCATGTTTACGATAGCTGATGACCTAGTTTACCATTTACTTTAAAATTATTATTTTTACCTATTAATAATAAACGCCGTCAAACTAAGTATATGGTAACGTTTTTGTAATGGACGTGGGAACCCAACAAGTGCTCTGTTAGGAACTTTCTTTGGTTACTTAAATAAATAACGAAAAAAGTTATCGATTCGAGTCACAGTGAACTGTAGAGAAGTTAGAAAAACATACCTTAGTGGTGAAGATCAAACATAAAGAAACATTTACAGTAAAACTAGCTGTCGCTCGCGACTCCGTCCGCGCGGAATTAAAAAAACAAATGCAAGTAGCCTATGGGTTCTTCCAGACTATCCTCTACATCTATACCAAATTCTATCGAAATCCGTTGAGCCGTTTAGGCTACAAACTCTAACATCCATCCATCTAAACTTTCGCATTTATAATATTGGTATGAAGTATGAAGGATAAGATATGGATGTACTTTCGAAGCCCTATTTAGCCTTACATTGAATATAATTTAAAAGAGATATAGCATTAATTAAATCAAGTAATTCTTTTACTTATATTGCGTTTAAAGTAATTGTCCTATCATTCCAATAAACTAAGATGAGAATTTATTTGAATAAGGTTAATCTTACTAATAGAGCGTCGGTGGCTCAGTGGTTTAAGCACTTGACTTGTAATCTACAGGTCTTGGGTTCGAATCCCGCCATGTACCAATGTGATTTTCGAATTTTCATATGTACATAATTTACCCGACGTTCTTACGGTGAGGGAAAACATCGTGATGCCTGCACATATCGTCGAAGAAATTCAAAGATATGTGTGAAGTCAACCAACCCGCACTGGGCAAGTATGGTTGACTGTGGCCTAGTCACCCTTACTTAGGGTAGGCTCCGAGCCCCTCGGTGGGGACGTATAGTGAGCTGGTGATGATGATGAATCTTACTAATACAAATGGGAAAGTTTAGATGTATGGATGTTTGTTACTACATATCTCTAAAACGGCTAAACCGGACTCGATGATATTTGTCACAGATAAGACACTGCAAGAACACATCGTCTATTGACTAAGTTATTTTTAATTACGCACAGATAAAATCGCAGGCGAAAGCTAGTAAAGTTATAATGGCATATAATTTAAAATAAAACATGTTACGTTAGAGTATACAAAACATAATATAAAATGTTCAACTGCTTAAGTAAATAGATATTCAATGTTAAGTATTTCTGAGCATATTCAAGTTATTACAAGTTCACTGTAACTCTGCCAAGTGGTGAGGTTGGAGGGGTGATCAGCGGTCTACTCACCGTCCTTAGTGTCGGGGCCCGCGTTCTTAGCTAGCGTGCGAAGCGCCGCCGCGAACGGGCCCCCCTTGTTCGGCGCGAGCTCCGTTCGCTTGGCGATCTTGTTCGCGCTAACACCTGGAAAGATGGAAAGTTAGGTTTATTGTTAGCTTGAAGAAACAAATTTTATACACTAATGAAAAATTTGTACAAAATCATACTATATTACTGTGATTTTTTAAAGTGACACTTCTATATTAGGATTTTTGTGTGACAAAAAAGCATTACAACCGCGTGGAGGATGTTTTTTTTGTCGATTAACGTTTTTGATGATTTTTTTGTATATCATTCTGCTTATCACGTGGTACCATTTTGAACGAAAACTGGCTATTAACGCAATCTACAAGTTGGCATTTTTTTCACCATTATGTGTTATTATGTATGTCATTACCAATGGTAACTTTAGCTAGAACCGCTGAACTGATTGTATTGAGTGAGGTGTCCGTCTATCCGTATTATCCAAGACTGCAGCAGTTCTTAGGTATTGATTTTTGTTTCAATTTATATTGGTTTCCTAAACGACATACTAAAATTGGATCTCCATTGAGGCGTGGGATATTAACATTTGGTAACGCAATCATTTCTCACACATAAGCGATATCACATCGAGAGTGAGCAGGACGTAATGTAAAACAAACAATCTGCGACCATCGCTGTCTCCCCTCGGAAGCGTCGTAATTAAACATTGATTGGATATGTAACCGTGGGTTTACACTACCTAAACAATCAAGCAATAATATACATTCGTCTTTGTCTTTCTCTATACTAATACAGAGATAGGAATATGTTTTGTTCGGGTGTTTCGACGGTAGAGCTGTGGGCACACGATGGCCTACGCCATTCTAGTCCACACTTAGTGCCGGTTTTAGCGACACTAGCCGCCCTGAGCGGTCGTTCTATCAAGGGCCTACCTTATCGCCAGCCTTGCGTAGTCATAATGTATGTATGAAGTCTAGTTTCCAACTACCAAAATGACAAATTATACGTATTTAACAGTCCTACGTCAATAGACTCGCATGTGGCGCAAGTCCCACGGCTATTAACTACGTGCCGAGTGGTAAGAGCTGTGTAAACGAATTGTATAATGATGTAATCATTTACTGTCTGTTTTATACGTTGCATTGGGATTTATATAGTAAAGAGGAGTTACGCTATCGACATTAAATTTAAAACCTGTACTCAAGTCCCATTTTTAGTTGTGACAGTCCGAAAAATACACACATAAGGAAATACTTTTACAGAAAATATTAAAAGCTCAATGTCCATATAACTTGAATTCTGTACAACTATGTATTTCTATGTTACTGTGTAACTATGTATTATCAATTACAAACCACTGCATTGTATAGTTAGATCCAAGCTTTATTGAGGCTGGAAATATTATACGAGAGATTGCGCAGAAGAACTTTGGAAAAGTAAATCAAAATTAGTAAGTTAAGAAGTAAGGTATTATTCGATTATCTAGGAGTATATTATAGGCGTCGTGGTGGACCCACTTTCGTATACTTGCACTTGCAGCTAACTCCGAGCGGCCATAAAGTTTGAATCTAATAATACCCCCAGTGCGGCAATCCCGTGACGTGCGGCTACGGCCGCAGCCGACAAATGGCGTATTTCCGCCCCGAGGGTTGGCAAAAAGGGGTGCGAGCCATTTGCTTTGTTAACTTACCATAGAACAGATTGATTAATTGTTACTAGGTGTATTTTTTCCAGTGTACTGTCCAAATTCATTCTTTCCTAACCATGAGTGTTTTAAAATGTTGGTCATTTTTAGTTACATATATTTTGAACTGACGGTTTGTGTATTCATACGGAAACTAAGGAATTTAACGTATTGAGGGCAAGTGCTAAGGGCATTGGCAATTCGAGAGGTTACACTTCATGCCCCTCCAATTGACTAGATTAATAACGTCTCCGCTAACAAGCTTCGCTCATGTGTATCTATTTCTTGAACGGAATATTGTGTTAGAACTACGAATTGATCAAATCTCATAGACGAAATAGGTCACTATTTATAAACTAAAGCGATTTAAATTATTTAAATGTTGAAGCAATTGGTTATAATTCTTTATATAAGAGAAGGGGTCAAACAAGCGGCGGGTATACCGAGGTGACCATCGACCCTAGATACCTTACACTTTTTGTTATATTTTAAAACTTAATTTGTCATTAAATTAAGTCCAATTCAGTCTTGCGTCGGAACATTTCTATTGAGGTTACGTCGCTGTATTCGTTAGCGACGGGACGTTTAATCGTAGAGGTCAATTGTCAATTGTGGGGTCGGGAGTTCATACTGGGATAGAACTGACTGCATCGCGTACACAACTATATAATAAAACAGATATGAACAATCCTTTAGGTAAATTAAAAATTACAAGAATCATGCATTACATAGATTAAAACTATTGTAGAACAGACATTGTATAACAAATTAACTTGGTATATACAATTGTTGTAATATTCGACAATGTAAGCATAAAATTTCTAAATACAAATAGCTGTAATATGAGATTTTCATTATTATCGATTACAACATGTCCCAGACGTCTGTTGAAAGAGAAACGATGAGTGCGACGGCTTAGCTTCAAGTGCTGAACCAACTAAGCCATACGCTCGTCAAATGTTTGCACTATACACAAACAGCAGCACAAGCTTTGTCAGCAAGATGCAAGTCACAAGAGGATTGTATATTTTAAATTTAATTGCATAGAAATCATTAATTTAGAAAAAGGGAGTGATGACTGAGATGACGTATGATAAGAGTTATGTGGAGGACAAAAACCTGTTGCATCGACCCTACGGGAGTAGGATAAGAAGAAAGATGATGATAAGAAAACATTAATGTGTCTTAAACGTCCCCAAAGTTTTTCTAATCTAAACACCATTTTTAAAGTTTCTCCTCCCCTTTGAAGCAAGTATTTTTATAAATCGCTTCCGCTTATAACTTGGACAGCGGTTCGTCAATTATTCGGTATGGGCTGTGAGTAGGAGCGGGCCGTCGTCGCGTCGAGCTGTCGACACCCGATCCGCAGGGCTGGGGCAAATTGGATATCCGCGGGCAAATATCCGCTGCGTCGGTTAGCCGTCTGTTTGCGCCGCGCAACACCCACCGCTCTTTGTTTGCGCCGTTATGGACGCCCGAGGGTTCCGAGTGCTTTATGTATTTTATTTAGAATGGTTATGTATTTGTCGGCCATAATGGTATTGAAAGCTATACAGTATCGAAATGGATAATCTGTCTGCAACATTCCGAACGACTATCATCAAAATATGATTTCTGACTTAACTTGCCTTTGTAAAT